GGGTGGGCGTGGCCGGGGGTGGGCGTGGCTATTAGGGGGCGTGTCCCAGAGTGGGCGTGTCCCAAAGGGGGCGAGTCCTCCCCAGGGGGGCGTGGCCAGAGCCCCCCATTCCCCATGTGGGCTCCATTCAAGGGGCGGGGGGGGACGCAATTAAGCGGGTGTTTGATTGACTTAATTAGGGTGGGCGTGGCCGGGGGTGGGCGTGGCTGTTAGAGGGCGTGTCCTAGAGTGGGCGTGGTCCAAAAAGGGGCGTGTCCCCCCTTACCCGTGCCCCCCCCGGGCGACGAACATCTCGTGGAAGGGGAACTGTCGGTGCAGATCCTTCTCGATGGCCTCCAGCCAGCGCCGCTCCCCCGCCGCCCCCTCCAGCTCCTTATATGGGCATGGGCGGGGCCAATGAGGAAAGGGGGGCGTGGCTTAGGGTGGACACACCCCCGATAAGCCACGCCCACCCCCGGGTTTTGGCGGGAAACTGACCTGGAAGAGGCCGGGGTTGGCGTCCAGGAGCCCTTGGCTGTCGGAAAGGAGCTGCCAGGCCCGGGCCCGGAGGGAGGAGGGGATCCCTTTGCGGCAACGGAGCTTCACCTGCCCCACGGCCAGCCCCATAGCGTGACCCACGGCGCGACCCACGGCGAGTGCGACCCATGGCCGGACCCACAGCGCGACCCACAAGTGGAGGAATCCACAAAGGAGACGTCCATGGGGAGATAAAGGGAGAGAAAGAGGCAAAATGAGATCAAATATGGGTCAAATATGGGTCAGACCCACGGCCAGACCCACAGCCAGCCCCATAGCGCGACCCACGGCGAGTGCGACCCACGGCCGGACCCATAGCGCGACCCACAAGTGGGTGGAACCACAAAGGAGACATGAGTGGGGAGATAAAGGGAGGAAAAGAGACAAGGTGAGATTAAATGGGGGTCAGACCCACGGCCAGACCCACAGCCAGCCCCATAGCGCGACCCACGGCGCGACCCACGGCGAGTGGGACCCATGGCCAGACCCACAGCGCGACCCACAAGTGGAGGAATCCACAAAGGAGACGTCCATGGGGAGATAAAGGGAGAGAAACAGGCAAAATGAGATCAAATATGGGTCAAATATGGGTCAGACCCACGGCCAGACCCACAGCCAGCCCCATAGCGCGACCCACGGCGAGTGCGACCCATGGCCGGACCCACAGCGCGACCCACAAGTGGGTGGAACCACAAAGGAGACATCCGTGTGGAAGATAAGGGGAGGAAAAGGACAAAAATGAGACCAAAATAGGGTCAGACCCACAACCAGACCCACAACCAGCCCCATAGCGCGACCCACGGCGCGACCCACGGCGAGTGGGACCCATGGCCGGACCCACAGCGCGACCCACAAGTGGGTGGAACCACAAAGGAGAGGTCCATGGGGAGATAAAGGGAGGAAAAGAGACAAGGTGAGATTAAATGGGGGTCAGACCCACGGCCAGACCCACAGCCAGCCCCATAGCGCGACCCACAAGTGGGTGGAGGCACAAAGGAGACATCAGTGGGGAGATAAGGGGAGGAAAAGAGACAAGGTGAGATCAAATATGGGTCAGACCCACGGCCAGACCCACAACCAGCCCCATAGCGCGACCCACGGCGCGACCCACGGCGAGTGGGACCCACGGCCGGACCCACAGCGCGACCCACAAGTGGAGGAATCCACAAAGGAGACGTCCATGGGGAGATAAAGGGAGAGAAACAGGCAAAATGAGACCAAATATGGGTCAAATATGGGTCAGACCCACGGCCAGCCCCATAGCGTGACCCACGGCGCGACCCACGGCGAGAGGGACCCATGGCCGGACCCACAGTGCGACCCACAAGTGGGGGGAGGCACAAAGGAGAGGTCCATGGGGAGATAAAGGGAGAGAAAGAGGCAAAATGAGATCAAATATGGGTCAGACCCACGGCCAGACCCACAGCCAGCCCCATAGCACGACCCACGGCGCGACCCACGGCGAGCGGGACCCACGGCCAGACCCATAGCGGGACCCACAAGTGGAGGAATCCACAAAGGAGAGGTCCATGGGGAGATAAAGGGAGGAAAAGAGACAAGGTGAGATTAAATGGGGGTCAGACCCACGGCCAGACCCACAACCAGCCCCATAGCGCGACCCACGGCGCGACCCACGGCGAGTGCGACCCACGGCCGGACCCACAGCGCGACCCACAAGTGGGTGGAACCACAAAGGAGATATGAGTGGGGAGAAAAATGGAGAAATAGAGGCAGGGTTAGGCAAAAAGAGGGTCAGACCCACGGCCAGACCCACAACCAGCCCCATAGCGCGACCCACGGCGCGACCCACGGCGAGTGCGACCCACGGCGCGACCCACGGCCGGACCCACAGCGCGACCCACAAGTGGGTAAATCCAGAAAAAATGGAGCCGTGGGGAGATAAAGGGAGAGAAAGGACAAAAATGAGACCAAAAAAACCCTCAGACCCACAACCAGCCCCATAGCGTGACCCACGGCGCGA